GGATCTAGTGTAAATTATAGCCTACTAGTGCCCATGTAACATAAACTATCATAACAACATGGTACAAACTTACATGGTGTTACTCTTGGTTGTTTTTCTTAATCTTTGGGGGATTCATTTTTTAAAGTTATTGTTTGTAACAATTTAGATGTCAAAATCATTGAACATTTTTATATGGTCATGCTTTTCTTCACAGGGAGACCCTGTTATTTCCACTAAGTGTAACTGGACTGCTTGGTCAGGTGGATATAGTAGCAGATGCTAAGTATGGTGGTCCCACTGGTCAGGCCGGGGCTATTAGATTTGCTCTGTCACAAGCCTTGTGTGCTTTTGTATCTGATGATATCAAAGAACAGTTGCGTCTTTGTGAGTAGACTTTGACCTTAATTCTTTATTATGGTTTTACTCAAGTTAAGAAATCAATTAAATTAGTACTACTTCTTGTATGAAGTTTTAAAAAAATATTCACAATTAAATTATTGTACTAGATTCAGTAAGAAAAAGTTAGATAGGGCTTGTTAAATAGCTTTATGGCTTTAATGCTAACTAAAAGACCTAAATGACATATTTATTTTGAATATAGCCGGTATGTTAACCAGAGATCCTAGAAAAAGAGAAAGAAAGAAACCAGGTCAAGAGGGAGCCAGAAAAAAATTCACATGGTTGGTGGTTTTTAACTTTCATTTTATATACTTTTTTTTTTTTTGTCATTGACTTCCTCTTTAACCATATTGTTTTATTCAACAGGAAAAAGAGATAAGTTTTTGTTTCAAGCAACTTTCCCAAGGCAGTGACAGAAAGGTCACTCACCTTTTTTGTATACATTTTTTTTTAGAATGCCAATAAAGATTTATTGATGCTTGATCAATTCAAATATCATGTTTTGTTGATTATAAAAGATAACACAAGATAATATATGTTTACAAATTTTAGATTAATGAGACATATTTTTCTTACACAAGCACAGAGAGAATTCTAATTGCAGTGTACATGCCACTAGCTGGTATCGTGAAGAATTCTAACTGCAGTGTACACTCCACTAGCTGGTATCTCACACACAGAGAATTCTAATTGCAGTGTACACTCCACTAGCTGGTATCTCACACACAGACAATTCTAACTGCAGCGTACGTTTCACTAGCTGGTATCTCACACACAAAGCAATGACCATCACCACTGACACTTATATGGACAAAAAACAAGTACAATTTTAAATAACAGGAGTACTATGATTTTACTAGTACCATTGTGACAATTGGGAAATACCTGTAGTCTATAATGTGTTTTATTTATTTTTTTAATCAGTTTATAACAATGAAAATACAAACAAAACAAATAGCCTTCCAGTTGTCTTCCACATTATTGAAATTCCTTTAATTCTTTTGAGACTGTCCATGGTTACTTAGTCCGAAAGAGCAACCAATCCATAGGTCAAGCTGTCTGATTGGCTTGCCTACCTTGTTTTTTTTTCATCCTACTGGCATTTAAATGTTGGCTTTCATTTCAAATTTGGTCAATAAAGAGATTAGTTTGACAAATTTTTTAGGGGCAATAATTTAAGACAGTGGCAGTGACGTGGATTTAATTCTTAAATACAGGTACTACTAGAAATAAAATTTACAACTTTTAATAAAAAATATAGGTTGTAAATGGAATGGAAATAGATATAGTCTAGTCTTCTAGATTTATGATAGCTTTGTAAAATATTTTACATGTTTCGGATGTTCCTTCAGAGTTGAAGATAATCTACTTCCTAGCCCAAATCTCCAGCAGGATAACAGGAGATGGCAGCGGGCAGAGTATGAACCTGGGACCATTGAGACAACCAAACGACAGTCCGGAATGCATACTGCATGACCAGACTTCAATGGTCAGAAATAACAAACTGGACAGCTCTCCTGCTAGTTTTTAGAAACATGCTCCTAGTAATAGGGTTTCAGAAATCAGCTAGTATTTATTTTTTTACAGCCTTATTTTGATTACTTTGATTAAAAATGAGAGAATATATGCAGTTTAAAAAATATATATAGTTTTATTAATACAAATTATTATAATTTATTTTTATAACATAGCTTTTGGGCTTCATCTCAAAAGGGTAAGAGACTACATTAAGCTAAGGTACATTAAAGTCCTTGGTATTTTTTTAATATAAAAATATACTTATTGATAATCTAAGTGTTTCCATAAGAATTTTGAAGGTTAATTAAGGCATAACAGTTGGTGTTGAATAAATAAAATAAAACATGTATTTTAAGAAAAAATATATTTCTGCAAATTTGTGTACAAAATATTGTTACGAATCTCACTATCCAGGCTCTCTGCAAACTGCACCATACACCACCAACTTCAAGAACTTGACAACTCAGGGCTCCAAAGTAACGTAACACTTTAATAGTTGAATAAATAACAGCCAATACTGTACAATTGGCAACACGTACACTGTAAAAATATCTCTCCGATAACACCGTACCGCCGTATCAACTCTTGCACTGGCCTCTCCGTCTCGTTCCGGGCTTGCACTGGGTTCAACAGTTCAGGACTGACTTCACACACTGGGTTCGTTGTGTCGGACTCGATCACAGACTAAGATCAAGACACCAGTCGTCTCAACTGTACTTTACAGTACTCCGCACTGAACCGTCGTAATGCTCCGTACAGAACCACACCGTTGAACTGTGCTTTAGTCGACCGTGTTCTGAACCCCTGCCGTGAACCCTCTCTCGTGAATCGTCTTGACTGTGACACCCCCGCTCTTTATATAGGGTCCCTACTGGCCTTCTAGAACCGGACAGAACGTCGCTGGACCATTCTGGGTGGTCAGATGACTACAACCCTCGTGACGCTCCTGAGCTCTGTTCACGACGTCGATCCTTCCCGAACCGTCCTGTTGACACACGACTCGGCTGACCGTCGTAACTCGTCACGGTTGACCGCTCGTCTAGCGCTGGCCTGGGGCGATTTGCGACGGCTAACTACACTCACACCACCAGGTTTATAACAATATTATGACTTAAGTCCTAAATGGTCTTCAATAGCAAAGACTTAACAAAAAAGTTTTGAACTGAATAAATCTCATTTTAGTCCTATTTAGTTGTTTTTTTTTCCTTACCAACTTTGATGATGTGTACAGTGCGCAATTCTTTGTTCAACTTGTAGAATAGACTTGCTCACTTTGCAAGACAAGCTTTAGCGGTAAAATAACATGGTGAAATATTAACAATGAAAACAAAGAGAAACAACAAAAATTTTTCCACAACGTTAATTTTTAATAAATTTTATTTCTTAAAAGAAACACTATCAGCTGTTTTTAAGTCAAATTAAAATAATCTGTTAACATTAAATGTGAGCCAAAAAAAATTGTAGATATATTTTTGGTCCAGCGTCGTCAAGTATAACTGAATATTTCTCTCTTGGGAACACCAATACACACGCAAACATCAAAACAGAAAAAATTTTAAGTTTGAAGTTGTTTCTGTTTTTTTTACAATTGCTGCATTATATACAGTATATCTAAAGGTAATCAAATGAAACTTGAAAATGTAAATAGCCAGGTAACAAAGTAAACAATTTATAAATCATATATGCAGTGAGACAAAAAGAAACATCTAAATATAGTAACATCTTATACAAATCTGATTGATAAATAGGATCAGTCTAGCCAGTTGTAAGGCTGAAATAGTTTTCAAATGCTTTAAGTTACTTCTTTCTTGTCCAAAAGATAACCATATATTTTTTTATTTTATAGCAAAGAAGACCTTGTGGGCGTTAAATACGCCTAATTTACATTTTTAATTTTTTTTCTGCAAATTAAAACCAAGTGGAACAGTAGGGAATTGTTTTAAATCTAATCAATTAGTATAAAAAAACAACATTTCTTGATGCTAACAAAATCTAGTTTCCTATTAGTTAGTCTTAGAAAGAAAAGTACCTTGATATGCATAGGCATAGAAGATAGAGCCAGACATATATACAAAATATATATACACACAGATGCGATTTGATCGTATTGAATTTTAAACATTTCAGTTGTTAATAAATAAATATGCAACTAATACACTTGCCATATATTAACTGAGTGCAAAGGTCAAACACACTGATCCTATCTGCCACACACAGAGTGCAACTAGCATACATTGTTAAGTAGGGACTTAAAACAGCTTGAGAGAACTTTGATGACCAGGTAAGAGAAGTTGTTTCGACTTGAGATTCCAGTGTGAACAAACAAATTATCTTTCTGTGAAGAGTTTAACCCCAGAGATCTTCTGTCCTACCAAACTTGAACACAAATGCACTGAAAAAGAAAAAAACTCGAATTTTTCCAATTTCCAAATATTTTAAATATAATTTAGTTTCAGAAAGTGATAAATTACGTTAATTAATAAATGTATACAAATCTTTAACAGTAAAAAAACAAACTAGTTTTAAGCTTAATTTAAAAAAAAAAAAAAAAAAAAAAGGATATTCATTTTCAACGCTGTTTGATACAATACACATATAAATATATATTACTCTACATTTATATAAACGGGTTTATAATTCTAATTATAACAAGATGAAATTCTAAAACAATGTAAATTCCTTCAATAATGAGCCAGAATATGAATAAATATTTTTAGTCAACTAAGTTCTTGCTATATATTGCTCATTCTATCTTAAGTGACAATTGATGTGCCAAGATACTGAGGGGTGCATTTCTGGTCAATCTCTTGACTTCAACTGCATGATCTAAAAGAATGCTACACATTACAATAGTTGTTTTTTCCTCAAAGTTGACTTTTGAAACCTTGGCACTTCAAGGCGTAGGGGGATCAGAGTACCCCTGTTCTAGATGAATTGCCTTACTAGGCTTACAAGCTCCATCTGCTATAAGCTTCTAGTCTTAAAGGTTTCAAGTATCCACCATCTCTCAATAAGAAACTGAAAAATAATTCAATGCTACAGGCTTTTGAAATCTATTAACTAAAATTACCTGAAGAAAATGAGTGCATTTTGAAGGAAAACTGCAATTCCTGGCCAATCTGGTTTCATATCTATTTCAAAGTCAAATGGTATCAAATTACACAAATGACGTGGGTAAAAATCAATAACTGTGTAATTAGTGCTACTAACAAAAAACCTCAATGAATATAAGTTCAGTTAATTCAAGATCCAGGTCTAGGTTTCACTATTTCACAATCTACATTAAAAGGATTGATAAATGAAACAGCATTGACTATACAGTATCCACAAAATAGACTATATAAATGTGTTATGATGAAATGTGTTATAATCTAGTCTGGAAGTAAAATCTAGACGACTGCATGCATTTATTTATTTCATCTCTGGTAATGCCTCTGATTTTAAAAAAGTACTAGAGGAAAATATTGCAGTTATATAGTGTGAAGTATACTTGTCTATCAAGATGATAGCTAGCTCTGTTTTGTTCCACCTGCTGGTGTAGATACTGCCTTTAAAGAAGTACACAAACATACAACTTAGGGGAAGGATGGCTCCATGCATCCAGCTGTCTGATGTTGATCCCCACCAGAAGATCTACTAGTACACCAATCACTTTGGCAGAGAACTAGATTACACTGAAAACAGGATTCTTTATATAAAGCTGGACAAAGCATGGCTGCAAACAAGTCTAGCTCAAAAAAATAATAATTTTGGTAGCTATGTTCTCAACCTGTGGCAATAGGCTACTGATACAGTTTCTATCAATGGGCCAGTATTAGTCATGGGCCCAAGCACAATGAGGCCCTTTATTCCAAAGTTGTTACACCACTGCCCAGGTTTAGTCCAACATTAAAGTAAAAGCATTTGGTCACAATAAACAGATGCCCAATGAAACCATTAAACTATTCAAGAATAATATAATAAAAAGCATGAAAGGACTAAAATATTTCTTGAATACAAAAAATCAAATATTAATCTTTATTCTTATTGAAAAGCATTGAGTCAAATCTATTCTTACTTCCTACAACATAGAATCCAAACAGAATCCAACTGGCAGCAATAAGAGACCCAAATGCAAGTAAAAATCCAAGAAATAGCCAAACACGTGCACCTGCAGGAAAAACAACAACACAAAAACACTTATGCAACTGATGGTTTCTATATGTCAAATATTGATGTCAAATGAATAACCATGAACTATATAATGCTAGAAAACCTGAAAGGAACAAACCTGTTTGCCCAATGCAACCAGTGGTGTATGCATCACCTCTTATTTGACCATTAGATACTGAGTTGATCCTAAAAAATTAAAAAGAATATAAATATATACATATAAAAAAGGAGCATTATATTATATTATTTATAGCAGAAATTCAAAAAAGACGCCTCTATTTTAGAAGCATAAAAAATAGCTTAGAAATATTTTTTATAATAAAGAGAAATGAGAAACTATGATAATGTTCTTTCCCTTTTGGGTACCAGTACTTGCCAGAAGATAAATATTAATCTAAAAATGGGAGATAAAAAGAATCTGGACAGTTAGTTGGTTCAGTGGATTTTTAACATAATTACAGATATTTTATAACATTAGATAAACTAATGTGCCAGTTCCCATTACTTTTTTGTGTTACCATTAACTAAAGCTCCAGTTATTGTTTCATCCCCTGTGTTCTGGTGTATTCTTTAACTACAGGACAAATTTGTACAAATACTCCTTCTTCCCTAGTGCTATTAGAGTATGGAATGAGTTGCCTGAGCTAACCAGGAAAACCAGTGGCTTGGCAGAATTTAAGTCATTGGTTAATATGCAAGACTAAATGCATGATGCGTAGGATGTAATCACCTTCTTTTTTGAAGTAACGACTGTATTATATAAGATAAGAAGAAGATTAGTTTCTATATCATGACACTTCTTAGAGAGTGTGAAAATCAATATTACTCTTTATCACAACAGATACTTTTATACCATATACTAAAATAAAAACATAAATAAATATTATATGCTTGCAGCAGAAATAACCAGAGAATATTAAAAAAAAATTTAATCATTAATATGAATGATTAGGTGTACACAAAGGATATGTCTAGCCCTTACATTCAATAAGTATAAGATTAACCATAGTAAAGATCATGTAACACTATTCCTAGACCCTACATTACATTTAGGGAACATTACTAACATAAAAAAGGCAACAGTTAATATAACTCCAGGAGTCTGGAAGGCATGATTGAAATCCCCACTGTCTGGATACATAGCTGCTGCATCAATAACAAACCACCAGCCTGCAAAAAACTTTTAAAGAAACAAAAAAAAAAAAAAAATTGAGAATACATATCTTAACTAGGCTATTAGAAATACATTTTATTTAATTCTCTTTTAGATGTAGTTGGACTATTAGGTTATAGAATCATTTTTTCTTCAACACAACACATTATTTTTATGAACAACATTTTGTAAAGCACACCAAAGATAATCATTTGCCATGCAAATTTTATTTCAACCACAATGTATAACTAATGTGTTTGAAATTTCATTTCTTTTTATCTACTTTTTACTTTGATAAAAAAAACAACTTGAATATATATGTCTAATGCTCATGACCATTTTGCCTTTTGAAATATAATTCTGTGGAGTGAAAAAAAAAGTGAGATGCTACTCTTTTATTCTAGTTAACTAGTATATGCATTCAAGAAGTCAAAATGATAATAAAACTGTAACTATTATACTGAATAAATTAAGTTTTTGAAGATAAATATGAAAAGCAACAAACAGATTTAAGATTATAAAACGAGGAACAGAAGAGGTATCAAACAATATTATCACCAATATTTTAAATACTTTTTCAGGCCAGGTTTCAAAACAGTTGCCAGTTGAAAAAAAAAAGATTAAAAAATTAAGAAAAAAAAAAAAACAACCAACATATAATATTCCACATTAAGTCATCTGGACAATCAATTATCCGGACAGACCTGTTCCCAATTAATCAGAATTATCAACATTCTACTCTAATGTGTATATGTAGCTAGCAATGTTTTAGCTTACCATAACACCTGAAAGTACTGAGACAACCAAATTTCTTTTAGCTCCCAGCTCAATGCACTCGCATCTTGGCCAGTTACAATTATCAAGAAAACCAGACATGATGATTTATTGATAAGTTTATAAATAAATAATGTCTTCAGCCTTGTAATTGTAATATATGTCTGAAGACAAGTTCAAGTAATAATCCTCAAGGATTTCTGAAAAATTTGTATAGATCTTGATGAAGAACTAATTTATATAAATTTATATAAAGCCAAAATAGTTGAATTCCTCAGTTGATGTTTTCATGTGTTCCTAAAATAAAAAATAAAAAAATAAATACCTTTAATTCTAACATGATAATGATTATTTATAAGATTGATAAATAAATCTCTAATGATTGTTTCAAGTAAAATTTAACAAAAATTGATGAGTTGAATTCTTCTGTGAAGGGGATACGAGTTTATCCACACACGCAAAAGGATTCAATAGCCAGAAAGGAGTATGCAGATGAAATCTTTGGTTTAGGTATCCATAGAATATTATGTAATAGAGAAATTAAACAGTACTGAAGGATGACAAATACAAAAAAAAAACAAAATCAAATAAAATACTCAAAAAGACACAAAGATAAAGCACATTCCCTGCTCCATATGCTAGGACAAATTTGTACAAATGCTCCTTCTTCCCTAGTGCTAGCATGGAATAGGATGCCTGAGCCAGCCAGGAAAACCAGTGACTTGGCAGAATTTAAGTCTTTGGTTAACATGCATGACGCCTAGGATGTAATCATCATCTTTTTTTGAAGTAACGTCTGTATTACATAAAATAAAATGAGTTGATTATTATTCAAATTATCTGATCGGATAAGTAAATTTAAAGTAATTAAAGATGCCAATCCATATATTATATGGTATTCATTATAAACAAAAATCTTTTATAATTAACATTTAATTTTCACTTTAGTATTACTGTAGTATCAAATCCCATTCATCTCCCCCCCTCCCCCCCCCCCCCCCAATCTAAATCTGCTTAAAATTGTGACAGAGTAGGCTACAATGTTAAGTCACACACATCTCAGTAAGCACAAGTGTTTCATTTTGTTACCAACATTAGTCATTAGCAGTTAGCTATTGAACTGAGAGTGAGTGTCCCTAAGCCTAAGTCACTAAGACATGTCTAACTTCAGTTACAAAGCAAGCAAGGGAAGGCTTTATTAAATTTATTTATCATTAATCATAGTTAATCTAGTTCTTGATCTATATAATTATAGTAAATATTAATATAGTCGTATAAAAAGTAATTCAGTCTGAGTATTCATTGTAAATCAAATGTAATTTAATGTAATGTTATTTTAATATTTTTATACTACTATATAGATCTCGACCTAGAGTAAAGTGCGAAGTTCGAGCGCATTAAGCCCGCTGGCAGCAATTTTCAAGTTTGGATTTTTATAGCACCATAACGGTCTGACCTATGAAAAAACTGATAGTATCTCTGAATTCCTCGTCCTTTTTTCTATAAAAATAGATTGGATTTAATTTACCACTAGGCTTAGTTAAAATTAAATACGAAGTCAAAGAGGTGTAGGGTAAGTATCGCCAAGCGTACTTTTCCTCAAGCGGATTTTTCCCCAGTTAGTAAGCTCGATCGGGTTGATGGAAGGTTCGAACAGATCAAAGAAAATATATATAAAAACATGTTTTAATATTTAATTTTTACTATAAAGTCATTTTCTTTTTACTCCAGCGCAAGAACACCATCCATTGCACCATTTCCCACCCTCCACAACTTCAAATAGTCTCTTTAAGCTGATGAGCAATCAGACTTAAAAATAGCCTTAAGCCCATTACCCATTTCCTTCACTACCGGGTAGTAAAAAAGAATAACTCCACACCTCCTGAGTTTGACCTCACCATGAACTTAGCCTTTACAAGGAAAAGAAAATAGTATGTGTAGGAAGGGAAGAAAAAAGGTGCATGCGCAGTAGCAATATAGTAGTAATTTGGTAAACATTCAAATACAAAAGTTTTAGCAATAAAAAGTGAACTGTTCGAACCTCTTGACAAATCGGGGCTGCTCGAACTTCGCACTTTCCTATAGTACTGTAGTGTTTAACAGTGAATTACTGTAGTGTTAATAACTCAGAATAACTGTTATTAGTGTTAGAGAGAATTAGAATATAATCTAGAAATATTAATTATTTAATATAATTATAAATATAAAGGTGAATAACCATATAGACGGTATAGATCTAGATTCCGTAGTGTTGATTTCACAGAATTTCAGTTTTTAGAATACTAGATTCTAGATCTACAAGTATAGATACATGTTTCATATATTTGTAAACATAGAACGACTAGTCTAGATCTATATTTATATATATCTAGATCCAGATCTAAATCTATATCTATATTTATATAGATCTAGATCTAATTACGTCATAAAAAGTTGAATGTAAAAAGAATCGGAACTATCAACTATCGGAAGCTACCCACAATCCTCATTTGCATTCTTTAGCAACAAGATGTCGACTAACAGTCAACCAGATTATGACAAGCCGGGCGACGAAGGAGAAGAGCGCGTAAAAATAATTTGCCTTGGGGATAGCGCTGTAGGAAAATCAAAGTAAATCTATATAAAATCAGTACTTTATTATTTAGCTGTTTAATTTTAACTATATTTATATTCTACAAAAAGATATTGTATAACTCTAACTAGACTTAGACTCCAGTTACAGTGTACAGTGACAAAAATTTTAAAAACAAAAAATAAATAATATGATATCAGATTGTTAAAGTGCTTTTTCTGAGCTTTTCAATGATATATAGATTGTTGGTATAGGTGCAGCGAATAAATTTTAAAAAAAATTTTTAACGCATTTTCACTTAACATTAAGTCAATGGAAATGATGACACCAGATTTTATGAAAATTGAAGGAAAATTGATAATATTTTCACCAATTTTCAAAGCCCATTTAAAAACCAAATATCAAAATAAAGCTCATAGTGTGCTTAATT